CCCCTCCCCTACACAGGTACCCCCACTGCAGAGCACAGAGCAGTTCCCAGCCAGAGGAAAGACCTGAAGCCCTCCACCTTCTTTATTTGCCAGCAGCAACTTTTAGAAAAAATGTTCTCTCTTCCCTTTTTTTTTTAATTATTAATAAGTAATCACAGCAGGATCTTCCCATGTGCCAGCACTGTGGCTCTGGTCTTCAAATATTTCTGGAAATAGGTCTTAGCAGCTGATAGCACCCACCAGACAGCAGCTGGCTCCCCATGGCAAGATGAGCTTGGGTTGCTTGCCACTAGCATTTCACCCACCCCTGCTAAGAACCACAGGCAGCTGAACAGCAGGCAAGGGGACACGCTGTGAGGACCTCAGCCCACCTGCATCTAAACCAGCTTTAGCTGGGGGAAAAAGACCTGGTGCCTTTGCCAGGCTGACAAACACTGACTATGCAAGGAGTCTGCTAGTGGCAAGTGAGGAGACGAGTGCCATCCCTGCACCGTGCCCCATCCCTGCAGCACCAACAGGGGCCCAGAGCTACAGAGGCCTCCAGGGGCAGGGGATGTGGGGAGACCCTCCTCCTCAAAGCCCCAAAGGAAAAAAGCCCAGACGTAAGTAAGTCAGCGCAGTGAGGCCCTGCAGAGCCCACAGCAGTTTGAAATAACCAAAGACATTCTCAGGTTTCAGAGGTAAGTGCCAGCATCAATCGTTTCACCAGCCCAGCCCACCAACGCTGATGCCCAAGCAACTAAGCACCCAGCTGTCCCAGTGCCCAGACTGGCAAGTGCTTCTCTTCCAGCTGCAGCAGGACCCAGCATCACGCCTGACACCTTCTGGTGTCTCTGCTGCAAGTCCCACTCTGCCTTGCAAACCGAATACAAAAAAGGTACAGCCGGATGAACTTGATATTGAGCAAATGAGTGCCCATTGCACCGCTTTTGCTAACCAATTTGTTATTTATTAGTTTGAAATTCTCCCTTATTTAACTCAGACAAGATGATATTGCAGTGCTTCATGTCTCAGAGCCCAGCAAGGGTGGGCTGAAGTCTGGTCAAGATGAGCACAGACAGCTGCCAGGTGCCTGGTCCGCTCCTCTCCTGCTGCTCACAAAGGCTGGGGAAGCATGAGCAGGCACCCCGAGCCATCACGGCAGGCTGTGCCACAGGGCACAAACGAGCTGGAGGGGATGAGAGCAGGTGAGAAGAGCGAGCAGGAGCTTTATTTATGCTAGCACTGCTGAAGCTGCTAGCTCAGAGTGAGGAGGTAGAGCAGGAGGAAAATAAACTTCATGCTTCAAAGCCATCAGATAAAGCTCCAGCAAAAACAGAGGAGCTATTTTTCCGAGCAACCAAGCCACTGCTCACAATGTCAGAGGGCCTCTGACCCCCACTAGTAAACACTCGGAAAAGTTTCCAACCACAGCCTGGAGTCAGATGGCATTTCCCACAGGCTCCAGGAGTGCCGAGATCTCAGGTTTGGAATTGCTTACTGTGAGGCAGAGTGCTGGCGAGCCCACATCTGGATGTTGTCTGCACAAAGAGCCCACATTTCCCCAGCAGCTACCAGAGGGGCTGTAGATCCTCCTTGCCCCATATTTCAGTTAGCGAGTGGGTCGAACTGTGGACCAGTGTGCAGGAGGTGCACTGCTGGGACATCAATATCCTGCAATGACCACAGCAAGAAACTGAAAACACTCGCTCCCAGCCCAGGGATGTACCTGCTAGGCAGGAGGAGCAGGATGGGCCCAGGTCTCCAGCAATGATAAACATCATCCGCTGATTCAGTGCGCAGAAGGCATAGTGCAGAAGCTATTAAATCACTTCTCCCTCCTGAGGCACTTCTGCTCTCCTCTTCCTCGTTTAATGATATTATTGGACGGGGGCGGTCTAATGCACTGCATGAGTCTGGCCGTTACCTCGCATGAACTGGGAAAGGCACTGAAGGCAAGGGGAGTGAGTTATGTTCACCCGACACAGACACGCTTTTCGAGGCTCCCTGAGGATGGATGCAACGCGCCGCTTCCCCCTCCCCCTCTGGTATTTTGCTCTTCCCATTTTAATAAAGTGAATACAGCATGGATAAAATTCCCTTGGCACTTTTGGCTTTACTATTCCTTTTCTTGAGCATGAGTCGTTTTGATCCTTGCTCAGAAAGAATGGGCTGGACGCACCATTACTCAGCTGATCTACAACTGAACTGAGAAGCGCCCTGGGGAAGACGGCAGGAGGAATGCCTCTGGTTAGGCACTGCGGAGCAGACCATGTATGCAGAGAGATACGAAGCCAGTTCAGACAGCTACGCAGAGAAGAAGAGCCGTGCAGATTATTACAAAATAATATTAGAAGATCTGTACGACCTTTTGGTTATCTCACAACAGCTGCTCCCTTGGTGTGTGCAGACGGGCTGGCTCTGTATTTTAACTCATTGCCCTATAAAAACTCTTCAAGAGCTAGTGCGAAGGCAATTATGCAAAACTTAATTCTGCATCAAGAGGGGTTACAGAAGCATTTTCTAGTAAGTCACATAGTAAAAGGCAATTGCACGAGCCAGCAAGCAGCTCAATTAAAATGACATGTTGCTAAGCTGCTCTGCGCCAGTCAGCCTTTGAATGAAGGCTCATGGCGAGGGTCCGCTGTAGTGGGCTGCGCTCTTTTCAGTATCCAAGCAACACGGCAAAGCCTGCCAGCACACGAATTACAAGCAGTACCTTATTTCCAGAGACAGAGAAGGGAACCAGAGGTTAACACACACACGCAGGGATGTTCAGTTCAGGCATCTGTGAAGACATCGGTTTGACAGTCAGGAGAAGGTAAGCTCATCTCTTATCTGGTAACTGCCTGACCTTGGAAAGCAAATCGCTGGCCCCACCGTGACTGCATCCAGATGGCAATGCTGAAGATCAAAATCTTACAGCTAAAAAAACCAAAAAAACCCCACAAAACCACACAGCAAAACTTTCCCATGTGCCATTACAAAAGATGCCTCCCAAAAACCTGCACGGTGCACATGCAGCACGAGGTTCTGCACGGACACAGGCTTCGTACCAGCCACTTTCAAAGCACACATACTCAGACAGCCCATCCACTCACCACTGCTGCAGTCTTCGCGTACCCACACCTCAAGCAAAATACTTCGGGTTTATATTGCATGGATCTTTTAAACTTTAACGCATCTGTTACCGGACCACCACCCCAGCAGAAACATCAGAAAGAAACATCAGAAGACACCAAATGGTGTAAAACAGAGCTTTCAACTATTTTGCTTCTCGCACTGCTCAAAAGGGAAAAAAAAATTGAACAGAAGTCAGGTTCGAGGCCAGCAGAAAAAACCCTCTTTCCAAATGAAAATAAAACAGTCAAAATTTTCAGATCTGCAAGAATGCTTTTAGGTTATCGTGGTCATCTGTATGCCACTAATCACCCTTTGCTTGCGTGGTATGTGGAATCATCCATTCAGTGCTAGAAATACAGCACTAGAAGCCACACTGACACCAGTACTGCAAAGCAGCATCAACTCCACCTGGAGATTGTTCTGCCCATCATTTTGGTCACCAAATACTTTGGGACACAACCCTGACACAAGGGCAAGCACAACAGATCCACTGACATCATTTCTGTCTCTGGGAGGTCATCAGTTTGAGTCTCACTGACATCAAGCCCCCAGGCCTCCCATCCCTCCAGCTGCATGCAGACCCCACCAGCATTTTCAGTGGAAGCCCCATCACCCAGAGCCACCTTTCAGACTCAGACGAGACGCCCCGTCCCTGGCACATGGCAGACCTCCGAGCACGACGGCGGGCCGCAGCCGGCATGGAGCCTCGCACACCCCGCGTGCCAACCCCACGCGTGCCACTTGCTCAGCCCACGGCCCCCTCCCACCCCCCTGGCACTACGCTCTACCCGCCGGGCTCTGCCAGATGCTTCTCCCACGAGAGGGGGCAGCAGCAGCAAGCAAATCGCCGCAGAGACGCGCCAGAAGCTGGTTGGCTTCGGGGTTTGAGTCGGGTTTTTGTTTTGGTTTAAATCAAACTTGATCAGTGGTGGCAAGACGTATCCAGCGTACAGTTATTCCTGTAACCCTGCCTTTCCCTCCCCTCGTGTTCTAGGGCGATGCAGGTTGGTTGATCAGTGACAGCACAAGAGGGTCAAGAAGCGAGTCCGTCTCTAAATGAAAATATCCTTGGGTTTTTTTCCAAGACTGAACAGGAAGCAAACATTATGTTAAGGTAAAGCTTAAATGTTTAACTATAACACACAAATGTTTCTGCACAAAGCACAGCTGTGGGCTGAGAAACAGAAGTTAACACGACTTTGCCATGTAAACATTAGACAAACATAGGACAGAACCTGCGCTCCTCAGGTGTTACCAAGCTCCGACAACAACTGGCAGAGAAATACTAACAAAGAAAACTGGGATTGTGTATACGGATACTTTTCTGGGCACTTTGGGTCAGATTCTGACATTTTGCAGATTACCAGGGCAGGAGGCAGTCAGCACAGCCAGAGCATGACACTTGTGAACTTGGCACACGGCATCCAAGCTTCTACAGCCAAGTCTATGCAATTTGGCAACTTGCTGGTCAATACCATACCACAGCAGTTCCCCAAGCTGCTGGCACTCACCTTTGGCTGTCACCATCTCAGACACCACCCGGGAAGGGCAATAAAAAACAACAAGCATGTGAAAGGATACATCCCCAGGATAACTGCTTCAAGGCATTTGATAGGTAAGGACTCCCTGGTCATTTCTTTCGCTGTCTCCATTAACCTAGGACAGAAACAAAAAGGTTTTCAGTCCTTTCAGTTACAGCAGTTGACAGGAGTCAGAGTCCTCACACACAGTCATGCACCTCCGGTTCTTCTCAGCAAGTGCCGGTGAACTTGATTCTCCTCTTCAGACTTGCCAGAGCCCTGCTGACAAAAGGTGTTGGGCATCCCAGTGCATTCCAGCCTCTGAAGATGTATTGGAGGAATGCACTCTGCCTCTCCAGCAACTCCACACGCATCACTTCAGACTGTAACACAAAGCCCTGCTGAGCTGCAAACGCTGGCAACCCTGCAAGCTCCCACAGCAGGACCAAGTTTAGCTTATTTTCAAAATAACCCTGGCTCTCCTCTGGAAAAAACAGGGGAGAGAGGATGGTTACATGATGGCCCCCCAAAAGCTACAAATGCCTCTGTGAGCCTATAGCTATAGGTGCAGACAAAAATTTAATGCCTTTTTACCAAGGCTGCTCTGCAGAAAGCTCTACCAACACAGACACTTCACACCACTGCAAGCTGAGCTATTGCCTTGCTGCTGCTCCCTGCCTCCTGTGGACTGGGAAAGTTGTAAAAACCACAGGATTTCCTGCAGAAGTGCAGGAAACTACATGCCCAGGATCTTGCAAGTTCATGAAGTTTAGTTACAGTCTGGACTCTTATCTTTAGAGTTATCTGACAGGGAGAACACTGATGAGAAACAAACAACCTAATCTCAGCTCAGCTGAGAAAGTTGTCGTGCCAAACTAACACCGCACCATCAACCAACTAGGTATCCTGTCCCCTTCCACAAGCAGATCCCAAAATCCTGGAGAGTTAAAAAAAAAAAAATACCAGAACGAGATTGAAAAAGGCCAGAAGAGTCATATTCAATGACACACCAAAAAAAAAGGATAGTAAAAACCAAACCAAAGCATGACTTCTATTTTGAAGTTTTCTCTATCTGTATCCTTTCCCTGAGAAGAAATTTGTACACAGATCCCTACTCTACAGAAACACAACATTAAATGATAAAAAAGACTTGTATTAACGAAGATGATGGAAATATGCATTTGAAACCATTAGAGTTTGTTTTTCCCACTTTCTAATTCACCTCATGCATTTTAAACCTTGTATTGACTGCAAATGGCAATTCAGCTTCCACTGCTATTACAGCCTGTCACAGCTATTCCGTGTCCCATTTATCCAAGTTAGAAATTATCTTTTCATTTGTAAACAACCGCCCTTTACACTCTGCCTGCAGTACAGAAGACAAATTAGAGTTACCCTGCCTCCTGCATGCTCACAATCAGCCACAGAAACCCCGCTGCTGCAGGTGGGGAGCGGCTCCGGCGTGGGCACACAATGGGGCCCCTTCATCCCCCACGGCAGCTCCTCAGGGCTGGCCGCAGAAGCGGCCGCTCTCACGCCCCGGCCCTCGACGGCGACGAACGATGCATGGGAGGTACCCATGAACAAGACGACCCACTGAATTTCCTACCTTCCAACTCCACAGGAGGAGGGAGGCGAAAAAGGGTCACAGCTGACTACGAATGCATATCAGAGGAAAAAAAAAGCTCAAGCTGTAAAGCCATTTGGCTTCAAGCTGTTTAATGTGGGGTACGCCTTGTTAACGTGGTCTGAGGGACCAAGCCAACATCTCCTCCTCAGGTCCACACCTATGCTGACCCCGCTGCCGGCAGGCAAACACAGTAACCGCACTGGAGCTGCCTTGTCACCACATGCAGCATCAGGTCTCCTAACACCTGCTTTTATAAGCTCAGTGCTGTCACGATTTCCACGTGTTGTCAGCATGGGGATAACTAACAACTCCACAGCCAGGGAGGGAGTCTGCAAAGTAATCGGCCTAAATGAGCAGCCAAATTACTACCGGCTTCTCTGTCGCAGCAATACTCACACTATTTAAATACTAAGCTGTATCTAACATGTACTTTGTTTGCAAGCCACATACATGCTGGTGCTGAAGCACAGCTCTCCAAGGTGCTCTATGGTTATTAAGACAGATTTAAATCAAACAGAAGAGGCATTTTGCTTGCTTAAAAACAGACTGCCTGCTAGTGCACAGGTACCGCAGGTGTCCCTTCTGAGGCTAGCAGCAGCCCTCCCTTCCCTTTACATGGTGTCATCAGATAGCTGGGCTCAGCAGGGACCCCGGGAAGCACTCCCGTCCTACCTCCTGCTCAAAGAACCCAGGTCCAGCAGCTGCAGCAGCTGCTCAGTGGCCACCCGGGACCTGACAGCTCAGAGATAGCCACGGCCTCCAGATTGTGACAGCGATGAGGATCTGTGCAAGGGGAGCATCGGTCGAGAAGCATCACCAACAACCAGCAGATAGGTGTCCATGTGCACCCGCAGGGCAGGTCGCACCCTCACACACACCCATCCCAGAGTCCTGGGGAATACTCCGCAAACAGCTCGCTTTTTCCTCTGCTTTTGCAACACACACTACAGGGTTTATGCGGATGACCCAGTTCTATAACCACTGAGAGAGTCTTCCTTCTGCTTCTAACAAGCTTGAGATGAAGCATGGCCTTCAACCCCATGCTTACATTGGACGCAAAGCCTTTGGAGAAGGCCAAAGTAGCATAAGCCAAATATAAATCACTCCTCACTGATAATTTTCCAACCTACTTTTAACTGGGTTCTTATAGGCTTGGGAACCCAACAGTTAATCTATCCTGTACTTAACCGCGTGTCTAAAAAGGTCTCCTAATGTTTAAACTAAATCTTTCCTTTTTGCAATTTAAATCAGAAGCTATTTCTGCAATCCACAGTAGGCATGGAGACCACTTATTATCTCTCCTCTTGCAACCGACATTTGTCTACATGACAGGCTGTAATCTACCCTCTCCTCTATAAACACAAGAAAGCAGACACAGATATTTTCTTTTCTTTTTAATCTCCCTCTTCCCCTCACCCCAAATCTTCCCTTAGGTCATGTTTTCTAGACCTTGGGCAATGTTTCTTGCTTTCATTTTAGATTCTCTTCAACTGACTCGCATCTCCTGGTACTGCAGCTGAGCCCACCACACCAATACAAACAGACCAATTTCCTTCTGAATCCAGCTTTCAGTATATTTTTGCTACCAACCCAGTGTTTTGTTTTTGTGGGGGTTTTTTTGTTTGGGTTTTTTTTTGTGATTTTTTTTTGTTTGTTTTAAGATCAGCTCCATCTGTGCAAAACTAGCATTTTTTTCTCAACTGTGTATTCCCACAGCTTGCTATTCCCAAATCCCTTCTCTGTATTTGCCCTTACTCATATACCTCCTGTTTGTTCCAGCCCAGCTCTCTCTTATCCTTCAAGATCACTCTGAAACCCAATTCCGCTCTGTAAAGCCTCGTCACCTTGTCTAGCCCGGATCACAAAAAAACATCTATTAGGAAACAATTAGTCTTATCCGTACCATTAATGAAAAAACATTGACCTGGGATAGATATTGCACACCTCAACTGACAAACTCTGCTGGGCAAGAACAAGCTATTGGTTAAGTACAACTTCGTAAGCGCTGCTTTTCACCAGGTTGGGTCCTTATGTCAAAATAGTTTCATTTAGACTCCAGGTCCCTGTCTTCTCCGGAGGCTGCCAAAAGCTGTACTAAAGCAAAGAATCATCACAACTACAACTTCTCCCTGACTGACAAAAGCTCTATCACTCTCATAGAAGGAAATTATCAGAAACAAACCATGCCAAATTAAATTCAAGTTGCCGATCACTTACCACCTTGTTATGTTCCAGACACTTGATTATTTGCCCTAGCGTTTTTCCTGAAACCGCAGATAAATTCAAATAGTTTTTAAAGGCTTTTTTAAAGGCTGGTATCTTTGCCTTCCCCAGTTTCCAACAAGAGCACCCATCCTCCCCACACCCTCTATGAGAAGTATCAATGGTTTGGAGGTTGTTTGTCACTTCTCTAAGGGAACATCCAGCTCATTTGAAAATAACTAGTCACAACTGCTCTTTGACTTGTCCTTTCCCTATTTTCTTTCACTACTGGATTCTTACCATGCTGTCTCAGATGTTAATCATGACCAGAAAGGTTGCACCATTAAACTTGTGAATGAATATTTAAGGAAGGGTGGGAAAGAATTAAAAAATAGCACCAAGCATTTCATTTCCCTGCCTGTGCAGGGTCTGTTTCCAGGGTTTTCTTTAAATCTTTCCAGTTACCTGAACAGACTCCGTATCTGATACTCCAACGCAGGACTTTTCCATCTCATATCACCATTAGCTGGGAACTAGCCCAAAGCCACCCTCTCCACAGACCCCTGTGAACACGGGGGCAGCCCATCTCTTCCAGTATCTTGAGGGAGACTGCTACAGTCAAAAATAACCATCATGCAGCTTCCCTCTTCATGGCATTTATACCACTGTCTAAAGTCTGTCAGGCAGATCTCTGCTCCTGACCACAGTGAACATTCCTGCCTCTAACAGACAGGCTGCATGGTCCTCCTTCTAGATCTAATCGTTGGCAGACAGCTATATTTCCTTGTAAATTGACTCAAATTTCTGTCCCTTGCTTTCTGCACAAAGAGAAGGCCCATAAAGGAGATGGTTCTGCATCTTCTGGATGCTTTCTGTTTAAAATAGCAGTGACTGCAGTCATCTCAGGGGAACCATGGATTCTCTTTTGTTCCCAGATTTTTCACTAGGGCATCCGATCTCGTATACAAGTTAGAAGAAGCTTCAAACCTTCTCGCATGCCCAAAACTGCGGGATCTTACCAGCTGGCACCCATCACGCTAGAGTCACTTCAGAGATGACCACGCTTAGGAGGAGACGCTGCCCATTACCTTCACCAGAAAGACTCCTACAGACTCCAATAAACTTCGAGTTAGAGAGATCCTCCAGCATATTTTCTACTAAGTTCTCCTTCCCTAGGCCTTGGTACTTGCCTAAGGTATGTAAAATCTCCCCCTCCAAAGTTTTTCTAAGGCTCCTGACAGATTTATTCTTCCCAATGAAGCAAAGAGAAGTGAAAGGCACCAACAGGAGTAAAAGGAGATAAAACAGCAGAGCAGCTACTGCTCTCGTGAATCTTCTCAAAATCAGTTTGTTTCAATGGCAAAAGCACTTCTGCCACAGGCTGAACATAGCACCGTATCTGTAACATTCCCTGTGTGAGAGAGAAGCAGATGTTCAACTGCCTGCTGCAGTCTATTGTCTGGAAATGGTACGAGCCCATTTTTCTTTACAGCCCCATCGGGGTTCCTTAATAACATGGTGTGTTGAAACAGTATTATTTTCCACCCCCCCTCCCTTCGCTTTTACTTGGTTGCATTGTTCCCACGTGACTGCTTCTATCATGCTCTTTCATTGCAATTGATTACCCGTTATATCTGCAGTCACTGAATGTTTCTCCATCTTCGCAGGGCAGCTTCTGAGGTGTGATTTCTCAAAGTCCCCAGAACCTACCCAAACATCATTTTTTGTTTCAGTCGTAGGTCCCACTGATCAGCTGCCACTTCACTGGAGGGAGCAGCACAATACTGCACCTACCTACAACCTCCCCAGACACTCTGTGGAAGACAAAGATATTCGTTCCTCATTGTGGCTCACGCCTGCATCCTAGAACAGAAGCTTGCAGAGGGCATATTGCTCCTTGTAAAGCCAATAACAAAAGTTTGTTGACATTGAATGCATAGATATTACTAGGCATCCAGAAATACTTTTTTTTTTTCCTAAAGCTCTTACACGATCTAGACTTGGGAATTTTAAAGAATGACTATTTCAATTAAAAGTGCCATTTTTTATCAGAATGGATCTACCAAACAAGCTGTAATGTAGGTTTTGCCAGCATAATCCCATATGGGAAAAGGAAGATCAGCTCAACTGGTGTCTGAAACACCTGTATTGCATGCATACACACATCACACACATCCCATGGACCGATAGCTGAACTCCATGGGGTGCCCCTTACCTACCTAGTACAAAAGGGTACATCACAAAGCCGATGTCAAGGACACCATCCCAGGTCAGGATACCTTGTATACTCTATTAGCAAAGCACTACTACAGTGAATGTAGCTACATCTGTAAATCTGGATTTTGTGCAAATACAGCAAACTCAGGCCAGGCGAGATGCATTTGCAGACACAGTTTGCTGGTACAACAGGAACACCACACACAGTTTGCAGGATCACAACTCTACCACCCAGACTCACACAGTTACGCCAACAGAAATCTAACATTTTCAGAAGTGTTATCTGTAGTCTAGACAAACCCACAGGGTGTCTGGCAGTCTAGAAGCAAGTTGATAGCTAACAGAGACTTTTTCTTAAGAGAGGTTGTAAATACTGGCTTATATCAAGCCTGTGTCCCTTAATGTTATGAGTTTCTAGAGAGAATTTATGCTCTTCTTCCTAAGCGCAGCCAGGCATTTTTATTTTCTCATGCATCACACTGATGCTGACAGTAAATCTCTACAATATCTAGTCATTCCTCCATAATAGAAAAACTCATTAATATGCCCCAGCTGCTTTAGGACACTTTCACATGAATTTATGAATATTCAATTTCCATCTAGTGCTCAGCTTCTTTGTGTCCAGCCATTGCTCTCTTGAAGAGAGGCTGCCAAAGCTCTCATAATACATCCATTAGCTTTGAGCCTTCATATTAAGAAATAAGCAATATGTTTAATGTCAATAAATCACACCTCTGGGAACAGCCTCAACTTCCAAGAGCCGGTGGCAATTGGAGGTGCTCAGCATCTTGCCTGATCAACTTGCAAATACAAACTTTGTCTTACAGCAAGCAAGGCCTTTCATACCACAGAAACTTGCTCAGCACAGCACTTGTCACCTCAGCACAAGACACATCACCACACTGGAAGCAGATTTCTTGCAAAGTGGAACACACCTCCCAGGAAAAAACTTGCAGGTGTGGGCAATTTTTCAGCTCTTATGAAAACTGGCCTGGCAGCTGGAGAATAAATTGCCAAGGTCAATGGAAGAGAAGACATCCTCAGCTAGTAAGAACAGCCACGCACCCAAGATGAAGGAAAGGAAAGCCTTTAGGGACGCCTCAATATTACAGGGTGATCAATGCGTTATTCCCCTTCTCAAAGTTGGAGAAACCAAGACAGGGCAAGCGCTTGAGCCCTGCTGCAGTACAACAGGATCTGGGCAGATAAGCGTGCCCTTAACAGCTCCACTGCTCCTAGCACTACTGTCCATCAGGCCAAAGAGCAAAGCAGCACAGGTCTTGGGACTTAACACCATGCAAGTCCAGCATAGACCAGGCACAGGGTACTGTGCCTGGCAAGTTGACAGCAGCTGCCCTGAGGGGTTAGACCATTTCCAGGGGCACTCTCCTTAACCCTGCAGAAGTCCTGCCACCACATACCAAGTCACTCACAGAAGTCCTCTCCTTGTCCTGCCGCTGTAACAAGTCAGACACGAGTCCCCAAGCCACAAACACTACAGCAGGCAAGCAGAGGAAACGGCACGCTTAGGAGAGGATCCAAAGCCACGGGTGCATCTCCAGCTGTGAGCACTGTATCAGTTCCCTTCCAAGAAAAAGTACCATACTGGTAAGACAGGCTTTCATCCAGCTCAGGAGGACACCAACCTTTCAAGTGGTGAGTGCTAAGCACAGCTCATTTTCATCCTCCACTTCCTTGGAAAAACGTAATGGGACAAATTTAAAAAATCAGTGTCCAGCCTGAAAACTGGTTTAAGCTTCCGTAATCCCATCTTATCATTCAAAGCACAAGATTTCTTCTAAACTAATTCCACTGGTGCAGTGAACATTATACAGAGAAAGGAAGTGGGAAAGATTGCTGTCAGCAAGATGAAAACTTGAAGCGCAGAGCTGGAATGGGAACTGGAATTTACAGTGACAGACCATTAGATTAATGACAGACAGCTGGGGAGAGCTAGAAACGGGCCAGTCTACAGGAGTAATTATATTCTGCTTATCTGAATTTCACCCTAAAATAAAAGCATAATATTGTCAACATCACTCCCCACCCTAACCTGCTAATTTACTGGGTCCTATTAAAGACCTGTCCTAAGTATGATGCAGGTCTTACATGCAAGGGATCCCAGCTCCCTGCTGCCAGGCTCCCTGCGCACATGTTCATACTTGCGTCACACAAGTCATCGCCACCCAGCACACAAGTCCATCACATGGAAGGAACAGCAAGATGAGCAGCAATGGGAGAAGCAAGACCACAACTTAAGATGGTCTGTTGTGATCCTCCAGAGGAAAGGACTGCGCCTGTGACAACGTCAAAATTCCTGCAGCATTCTGCGCAGTTGATCTCTTCCCATCATCAGCAAAGGGCATTACAGTGCAACCAGAATATCAGGACTCACATAGTTTCCATAAAAGCAGCCCAGCTCTCCTAACCCAACACCAACAAGGGAGAACTGAGAGTTTTCCCAACTGGTGTATTCAGCTTTGGCCTGCAGCTATGCAGCTCCCACGCAGCTGCTGAGCAAGACCAGCCCTTCCACTCACTGGCTCTTGGTGGGTCCATCTGCCACCTGGCAGCACGCTGGGACCCTCCTTGCAAAGGCAGCAACACACAGAGTTTTGGACCTGCCAGAACTGCCGTGGCATGGAGGAGACAGCCCTCCCATGCCATGGTGCTACAGTGCTTAAATGCCCAAAGTGATCCGCTGGCATGATATGGGACAAGGGCCCCAGACCACTTCCAGAGACACTTACCCACTTAGAGGTCTCATCTTTCTAATCTCAAAGAACTGTGTTCCTGTGTGATTGTATCTGAATTTTGTCTGTTAAAGGAAAGCAACTTGAACAGTCAAACAATAAAATAACAATGCTCAAAAGGTGAATTTCAGTTCCAATATCCTGTTGAAACATAAAACAAGCAATAAAAGCCATTGACTCTCAGAGATGAAACCCTGGCACGTGAAATACAGCAATTTTTCATTTGTCTTTTTATATGACATTAACTTGCCTTAGGTGGAGGGTCAAGCAAAAAGTTTGTCTAAAACGACTCTTAAAGTTGGCATTTGAGGGTTATGAATTCACTTTTCCTCTAGGTCCCACTATTAAGTCAAAAGTTTGAAAAAAAAGTCTCCCATTTGGGCAAGAGAAAGCTTTTATAGCGTAGCCGAACAAATCCTTTTAAGTTTTCAACTCAGTCACATAGCTGATGTATGACCTGTAAACCAGAAGCATGACAGGTGCATCCATTTACGTCTAGGAAATATAAATAATTCTCTAAAATATACAATGCACTTGAAATTGAAATAACCAGCGAAGTGCAACTGAGGAACATTAATTAATACTATGAGCATAGGAGAAAAGTTCATCCCAAAGGATGCCAGCAGATGGTCACCCATCAACAATACCTCTGCACCACTTGCCTAGGAGTGCAAGCTGCCATGCAGCAGCAGCAGCACAAGCAGCCTCTTCCCTGCTCCTTAAGCATAACTCTTCAAGCAGTAACAGATTATATCAGATCAGGAAACCGACCTGTCCAGCAAAAACAAACAAAAAAACCCCAACAACAACTTACACCATCCACTTAATTTTGCTAGGTTATTTTTCTGGTTGAATCTGTTCCCCAGCCTAGCTACCAACACTGCCATGAGAACATTCACGTCACCGAAGTTTTGGTGGTAATACCAGGGCAGAAACAAGTGACCCCGTGGAGGCAAAGGGTACCTTGAGAGTCATAAAAAGCACAGCTGCTGGCTGTATAACCATGGTCTAAATAAAAACTCCAGCTCACACCAGGATGCTCTGATCTGACTTCAATAAGAGTTCAGAGTTCTCCAGAAACCAGGCTTTGCTTCCCTCTTGCCTTCAAAACCTAATTCATGAGGCCTTTTCAGAGTGCTCTGAACAAAGCATACAGCCTCTTTTAGCCCACAAAGGAAGCCCAGACCCTGTTCCCCAGCCCACGTTGAAGCTTTTCTAAGCACAGATCCAAACCCCATGTCTAAAGCCTGATCCTGCTACGTAGTAGAGTACAGGATTTCAAGACCACTGTGGAGGGGGAAAAAAAAAATATATATATATATATATATAACTTTTGGAGCTCTGTGTGAGGTGATCTCCTCTCTGGCACAATCCCACTGAGCAGCAAGCCTCTTGTCCTGCCCAAGGGGCCACCATGCAGAAGACAAATGTGCCATCCCCCCACACAGCAGGCTGGCCCCAGCCTCCCTCCCTACAGCAGCTGCCGCCTTGATCCCCACCACTACCCCCAGCAGGCTAACCGCGCCTGCTATTTTTGGATGCTCTTCCAGCTGCCACCCATATCCTTTCTTAATCCTTACCAGGACTTTACATTCATTCCTCATCCCCACAGCTTACATACACACACACACACAAAAAGGGAGAGTTTAGAAAAAAGGAAAACGGAGAGAAGAGCAGCATCTGTGCCAGCAATTGTCTCCTCTGTCAGCAATGGAAACAGTCAGGTATTAGGCATGAGGCAGTGATAGGGCAGCTGAATAGATGTGTACATCTCTGATGAGCCCCCAAGGCAAGGTGGGACATCTGGAACAGGGGATTCCTTTGGTCAGTTCCTGTGCTACCTCGGAGTCAGGACATCTGCTTGTGCCCCCCACTCCAATGATGAGCACCCTCTGCAAGCTGAGCACATCAACAGTCCTCAGGGAGGACACAGGGGCTGCCAGGGCAGAGGGAGAAAGGGTTTGCCACAACACCAGCTCTCCCTTAGTCACTTTACGACAAGATGCCATATTATTTCTCCAGGCATCATGATCTGGTCACAATATCCTCATAAGCCAACTTCAAAATAAGCATTTCTACTTCCACCAACATCACTTCAGTTAAATTCTTATTAACATTTAAAGTTAATTACACATCCCAGAGGATTTCTGTGACAAGCTCAGTGCTGCAGGTGCTATCACAAATCCTTAGAGGCATCCTTTCACCCCTGAATGATTCCAAGCCCTCGCGACTAGCTAGTGCTTCGGTAAAGCCCCTGTTAATTCATGCCAGGCACAAGCCAGCCTTCTGTCAGGAGACCACACACTGGAGAAGGATACTGCAGCATCTTCATGTAGGTCTGTATTGCCTGGAGCCATTCTGGGATCGACATGGAGAGCTTGTAGTTTGGCACCGGTGGCACTGAGGGCTGGACACAGAAAAAAAAGGTAAAGAGGTTAGACAGTTACCACTCCCTGCAGAGCGGATAAGCGATTTACTTAGGCAGCGGCATGTGCTTAATGCAATGCAAGGTGGTAGCCCAGATGGCTCAAACCCCACAGGAACTCAAGCATCAGGCAAAGTCATCCCGCTGACAACGGGGGCTGCCTGCACACCGGAGCCGGGCCCATCCCTGCCAGCCTGGAGAGGCCAGCACAGGCCCCCGCCACAGTGGGCTGCTTGTCCCAGCCATCGACATCCTTCAAACACTGCCCGACATGGGCAGGCAGTCCAGCGCAGAAGGCAAACGCTTCCCATTTTTCCCTTCTAGCAGAGGGCAGTTTGGATGAGCAGAGTCCCAGCGTTGGCTCCGCTGTCACCCCTCCCATGAGGAGCCGTATTTTCAATCAAGACTAATTTTTGGTTTCCTCTACCATGAGAAAAAGATAAAAGGAGACAGGCATCTCAGGCTTCACAATTTCCCATCTGCCGCGTGTCAGCAGCATACTTGCTGGGCACGGAGCACATGGTACCTAGAAGACCACCTGGGACCCAGATATTTAGTGATATTAAGACACTTAAAGATATAGACTGGCACTGTAATGGGATTTTTCCAAAATCCCATAAGACATCTGCTTGTGCCTAAGCACTTTAAGAAGCCGGGCCCTCAGTCCATATTTAATCCCCACAGCTACGCGGCTCCTGAGCCTGTAACCACACAGGCAAGGGGCAGGGTCTTGTCCCAAACCCCCTTATTTCAGGGGCGACATTGCAAAATACAGGGTCAGCAGATGTCAAAGTGGGCAGAGCGGCTAAAAGAAGCTAAGAGAACACACGGGTGTTCTCACAAGTGGGAGTTACAAGCAAGATTCATTAGCACTTCTTAATCACAATTTCCACACCTAAGCTCTTCATTAGAGGCAATTTTTCAGTTTCCCAAGTTCCCCCTGCCCCCAGCCCCTTTGGCCTGGAGGAATTATTCACCCGTCCGTCTCGGCACTCAGGCCGGCCTGGACTCCACGCACGGACACGGCTCGAGTTCCAGGAGGAGCACGTGGCTGAAGGAGGGAACACGGGCAGGCCTGCCAAACCCTTCCAGGGCCAGCCATCCCTGTTCCGATAGCAACGCTCCTCTTCTTCAGAGACAACAGACTCTGGGTACACGCCTTGCACACACGACACAACGCGCCAAGGCCATGGGATTCCCAGCCAGCAAGAGGCCTGGCTGCTGCAGAGCTATGGGGGGGGACAGCACCCCCTTCCCAGCCCCCCATAAAATGGAGACCCCTGCCCTCGCCCCGCTGTGGCATAGGACAGCATCCCATGGCGACCGCACCGGTGAAGGGACGCAGCCCTTGCTGTAACCCACAGCAGCCGCCCTTGCCGCGGGGGTCGGGTCTGGACCTCCAGGAGAGGTGCTTCCCCATCTCCAAGGCAGAGGATGATTGTGTCGGTCACCGGGGTGCGCTCGGGCAAAGAGAACCAGGGTCTCCCAACGGCTGACGCGTATCCCATCACCCATCCATCCAAGACCTGCCGCTCCCACTCTCTCCACGCAAAACCAATTTTTTCCCCCCCTCAGATCCTTGCCATGGCTGCAGGAGCACAGATCCTGGGCACCCAGCCAGCACGGAGCAGAAGCCAGGACTGCACAGCACCACGAGCAAAGGGAAGCGCGGCGTTGTCATGGCCCTCCAGCTGCCGGTGCATACCCCAGCGCAGCAGCCAGCAAGGGTCTGTAGCAGGAGGCCAGGGCCGCCGAGAGCCAACGCAGACACAGCACTACAGACCACAAATTTACAAAGCAAGTGAGACTCAGAGACCAGGCAGATGAAAGGGCCTTGACCCAGTATCAGTATTTCCAAGCAGCAGCAGCTCCAGAGACAACAGAGCCGCTGCAGTGCAAGACTTTGTGGCAGAGCTGGAGACCATCATCCTGTGACTGGAAACACCATAGTCTGAGTTCACCGCAGACATCCCGTGTGAACCTTGTCTTGCCTGACTCCACTGTGTCTCATTTAATGACCAGAAAGTCACTGTCTGCTAGCTCGCCTTGCAAGTATGCTGTTACTTAGCATGGATGAAGCTGGCAGGCTAGAGCCCTCAAAGTTGGTGAAAGGTTTAATTCATTAAGGTCTGCAAGTATCTTAAAGATCACAGACTACACAAAGGATTGCACAGCCCTTCCAAACTGGGAGCCCACACCCTTGCCAGAGACCAAGCCAAACGCCCGAGGTGGGGAGGTGCAACCAAGGGATCCCTCAGGTTCTGAAACTGCCCCCCCTTGCAGACAAGCCAGCTTTTCATAAGGACTCTTCCTCCCAGGAGAGATGCACCCCTGCACCCTTGCAATTTGCATTTGTTTCAGCAAGGATGACCTCACCCATACAGTAAGAAGCTACTTACTGCCCTGCGTGTGTGATCACTGAGAGTAATACCAAGATGATTAGAGCAATCAAGTGGAGCTTCTTGGGGAGGGGATGAAAACTCTCTCCCATCACTAGGGATTATGAAGAGATCAGATGCAAAAAATGGAGCAGCTGCACACACTGCTTGCTCAGCCTCCACCAACTAGTAATGCAAGCAGATTACAAACCATCTTCTCACGGACACAAGATTCTCTTCTTGCTCCCCATCAGCACTACTTGGTCTTTTGCAGGTTGCCACATACCCAGCAGCACAAGCCAGTTAAAAAAGCTGTACCAACATCTAAGGAAAAACTCTCCCCTCACATTCCTACTCTGACCCAGAAATTACCATCACAACTTCGGCAACCCACTACCACTTTGTAGCAAACCAACCTGCTCCTACCCTTCATCTGCTCACCTGAGCTGTGCCTGCCTTAATAAGGACCAGGTGGTCCTCATATTACCCCTTGACCCCAGAGGTCCCAAGCTTAGCCAGCAAGAGCTAATTAGTCACAGGGGACACCAGGCCCTTCTGCCCTTTAAGTTAATCACTGCAACAGGGAGCTTGCTGCTGGAGGAAATCAATACAACTCCTCTACAGCACCGTCCACTGATCACAAACCAGTAACTACCACCAAATGATTTATCCAGGCAGATTCCAAAACATTTTTCCTCCTACTCAGCTTCAGTACATGCCGCACCGAGTCAGCCTTGCGCTTCGGCACCAAGGAAGAAGCCATGGGTGACAGTCTCCAGGGCACTTTGGCAGGCAGCATGCTGGCACATCGGAGCCACTGGCATGTCTCTCACCAGATGCTTTGTCAGTCACTATGGGTATCACCAGTAAAAGTGACACGCTTTGGAGCTGGGAAGCAGGGGAAGAAAATCAAGTCCAGCATATGCTTTGCCGTATCATAACACCAAACCAGTCTCCAGGCTGTTTAGACTGGTGTAAGCTGGTCATGCTGCTGAAACAAGAAGTTCTGCCCTCTCTTTGCCCCTTCATTTCTACCTCAAGCACTCGTGTAAGTACAAGAGGAACCACACTGGGGAACTGCAAACAAACCCAGCAAAACCAGATTATTCTTTAGCTGGATCTGTTCCCCCACTCAAAGAAAGGCTGGTGCCAGCAGGAGGGAGGTGGCAGAATGGACAGAATGGAGATTGTCCCTTCTGCACTTATGCTGAACCAAAGACTGCAGAAGAGAGATGAAAGGCCTTTTCAGTTTGCATCTTCCTTGACAAGCGCCTTCACAAAATAGCCCTACTCAATGGGCTGTCAACTTCTCCAAGCACGGAATTTTTCCTTTCTAGTCCACGTAAAGAATAAGCGTACATATCACTGACAGCCCGGACTGTGACAACGCCAGCCCAACCACCTCACCCCAGCGCGCAGAGGGGTACAAATCAGCGCCGACTTCAGCGGTCAGCTCAGATTAATGCTGCCTGGCAGGAGGAGGGAAGCAAGCTCCGAGTCTGCCAAAGCCGACAGCGTTAAAGACACTGTGATCAGTAATGCAGCGCAGCAGCCAGAAGCCTTGGAACATCAGCAGACAACAACATTTTATTTGCTGCCTGAAGGAAAAAAGAAAGGATTCGGGTCAGGCAGAGCTGCTTGGAGCTTGTACCGAGGAACACAGGAGACAAAAGCGCTTGGAATCTTTCCATGCACTGGGAACGAAACGTCTGGGTTCCAAATCCCTTACCGCATCTCAGGAGCAAGGCTGTGTTTTGGGAGACGCCTGCGCTCCGAAGAGCTTTGCAGAACGCGCTCCCAATCGCACACAGCGCTTCGTCCAGTCCCCGATGATTTCCTTTAATTCTCGTTTTCCGCTTTTTCCTCCCCCAGACGAACAGAAAATAATTCTCTTCCCACTTTTTTCCCAAGACCCCAGCTGCAGCTCCTCGGCACCCCTTTTCG